GTAAAGAAGCAAAGTAAAGTTGAAAGTAGGGAAAAGGGAAAGTAAAGTAAAGAAGCCACAAGAAGGAAGAAGAAGGAGAGACAAAAACATTTTTCAAAAAGTGTCAGATTGATTTGGACAACCCAGTAAAATCTGCTGTATGAGACCCGAGGCCTGCACTCACATATTGAATAAAAAAAAAAAGGAATTTGGAAAATGTTGATATCTGAAATTGTTGCAACATGCAAATTTTTTTCCCAGGTGTAGCCTTTAAGAGCCTGAAAAAACTGAACCTGCAGTTCCCTGCAAAATAAGAATTTTTATACTCTCCCCTCCGGTGGCCTGGGTGTCCTACCTTCCCTTCGTTCCACTGCTGCAGCCTCCATCGCGGTTGTCGGCATTCAAAATTTCCGGGAGTGTTGGATGTCTGTCCCCCCCCGCTGCACAATGTGGTTTCTTCTTCTGATTCCTGTGTCCACATTGAGACCTGTAGAGACGTAGAGGTGGATGGAAGGAACCCCTATGACCAGAGGGGAACACAGGCATCCAACGCTCCTTGAAGTGTCCAATGCTGAACACAATGAGAGAGGTCACAGGGCTAGAATGGAGGGAAGGTAAGACGTAGGGGCAACCGGAAGGTGAATATAAAGGCCCAGCTCATGCAAACACTGCCAGTTAATTTTTTTAGAGACCGACAGGATCCTTTCAATAGGTTGAGGCATTGAGACCTCTTTCAGTCCTAGTTCTGGAGGTGTTTGGGGAACAAAAAAGGGGTGAGAGATGTGCTTGTGACCAAAAACCAAAATAAAACAGTTCAACGTGTTTGCAGTAGAAGGAACAAAAAGAACAATACAGAAGATTTTCTCTTGTTTTAGTTTTGGCCTTTGTCAGCTTGTATCATTGAAGAGATCATCCCGGTTGTGTTATATGTTCAGTTGATGTTGTGTTGTGTTTTAATTGTTGATTGTTGTGTGTGACGTTGGGGAGGTTAGCACAAATGGCGAGCGCTTAAGGACCAGTCATGAAGCCGTTTTCACAGAACAAAGGACAGTCTTTTATCAATTCCAAAGGCAGAAAAAGGAAATCCAACATAAATAGCTTTCTTCAGCTTACATATCAGCTCACCCTTCACAGGTTATCCTGTTCAGTGTCTCAGGACCTGACGGTTTGCCTCAATAGACTCTCTTCCTGGATATTTTGTGCCTTTGAGCATCTTTTGAATTCACCCACACACCTTGTGTGCCTGGCTCTCTCTGGCTCTCCAAGCCTTGCAGCCTCCAACACATACACAGCCCCCTGGCTTCACTCTGGGTGGAGTCCGCCTGACTCCTGGACACAACCTGTCCCTCTTCCCAGCAGGAGCCCAGAACACTAGCCAGCACCCTTCCCATAAGTCTTGTGCACAGGTGTGCAATTAGGTGCTGGCCACTATTAAACAATGGACCCAGGAATGGAGATTTCATTCCTCCCAATTCTCTGCGAAATCTCCCAGTTCCAGGATCCCATGCCAAATCCAGGTTTTCTAGGGAGAGAACTGAAAGGCCAGTTCTTTCCCAGCAAAATAATTTGTTTCCTGGAACTGCTCAGCACCTCTGGCTGAGAGTCCAGTGTGACTACAACCCCCAGTTCTACCGTGGGATTGCCACACAACACCACATGTGTTTATGTTACTCTTTGTCTTCTCTTTCCACAGTTTATGTTATATATGAATGTCACTCTCTTACCTGCCTGACTTGTAACTGTTGGCATGAAAGATAGTAGCGTCCGTTCAATTCCTCGCTTTTATATTCAACGCGTTTATTCCAGAGAGTATTTCTTGTGTGGCTCAGGGTGTATGACCAACTATTGTAAATTAGACCCCTCGGATAGTTCCCTCTGATAACGCTGATTAATCCCTTTGCAATAAGGAACACTGCTGAGTGTTTTATCATTTATTTTAGGTTTATATTATACATACGGAGAATGTACAATGTGAAGCAAAAATGTTACACATGGTCCCTAAACCAAACACATTCCTTCAGGCCTCCCATGTTGTGTGACCTCGGGCCACTGTGATGATAGTACTTTGTGGTCTTTAACAAAGGTAGCACAATCCTTTGCTTAGCGACAGTACACCAACAATCCAAAAATATATAAACACCCCTCCAAACTGTTGAGTTAAGTGTTTCCAGTGAAGGGTACTGTTAAAGGAGAACTATGAGGTGGGTGATTTTCACTCAGCCTCATAGTTCGAGCCGACGTGTGACAATGAAACTGTGACAAACTATGTTAATGCATTGGACTGGAAGCGGTTGTCTTACTGTGACTAATCTTTAGGGATGCATCAATACTAGTATTGGTATCGGTGCCGATACAGAGTATTTGGGTGAGTACTCGTACTCACCCAAATGCTCCAATACGTACCTCTTGTACCGGATCTTTCGGTCAGAGGGAGATCTCCCTCTGACCGGCAGTGCCGAGGGAGCATTGAGCCGGCTTCCTTTCCAATTCAGGAGGCGGGGAGGCGGGTCATGATGTGCCTCCCAGCTTCCTGATTGGCTGGGAAGCTGGCTTCACTTGTTGCTAGGCAGCCTGGCTTCCTTACCAATCAGATAACCTCATGAACCGCCATCTGGTGTGCAGATTGGTCAGAAAGCTAGGCAGCCTTGTGAAGTTGGTGTTCTTTCGACAGAACACAGGCTTCCCAGGCTATCAGGAAGCTGGTCTGCAGGTCATGATCCGCCAACCAGCTTGCTGATAATTAAGGCACACAGCACCAGTATCGGTATTCAGTACTTATATTTGATACAGAAAAACCGGTATTGGTGCATCCCTACTAGTCTGATATTATCCTGTCTTGTATGTCTTGTCCTGTCATAGATCAAATACGTAGCTAGCCCATGACCCTACACCAACCTAGACCCCAGGTTTACTATCCTTCTTCCTCTTCCATCAGTTTGACTCAACCCTTTTTTCTAGCCATAGCATATAGAACACCTCTGTGTCCCACCACTTCCCGCTGAATAGTATTTCCAGAACCTGCCCATCCCCCACCACACTAAAATATTGTAAACCAGCCTAATATAATCCCCCCTCTAAAGCATCATAAAACTAGTACATTGGTTTTGTGTGATGGGCTCTTGATGCTTTAGTTCTACAGATCTATTTCCCCCACTCCTCAGCTCACTCCTTGTGCATTTCTTATTTACTAACTGACATATCAGTATGGATGTCACACCACTTCCTAAAATTACTAGGGCTATTCACAAAGGGGTGAAGAGTTTGGAGAAGGCAGGAGAAGTAAACAATCTAGGACAACATAGCTGGTTTGGAAAAGGTCTCCAATTCAGCTCACGTTCCAGTTCAGCTATGTTGTCCTAAATTGTTCACTTCTCCTCCCTTCTCCAAACTCTTCACCCTTTTATGAATAGCCCTGTAAATCTTCCAAAAACTGAGCTCATGATATTTTCTTCCCCTCTGCCTCCTTCTGCATCTTTTCCATTGACATCAATAACACAACTATCCTTCCCTCCCTCATGCCAGGGTGCTAGGTGTAATCGTGGTCTCTGATCTCACCTTTCAGCCCCATACCCAATCACTGTCAAAATCATGTCACCTTCACCTCTGTAACATTTCCAAAATATGCTTCTTCTTAACCAATGAGACCACCTAGATACTAATTCGCTCACTTGTTATCGCTCACCTAAAATATTGCAACTCTTTCCTCATTTGACTATCTCTACACAGACTATCTTCCTTTTGTCTATCATGAATGCTGTCTACCGCCTCCCCTCTCTGCCCATCCCTCCACTGGTTTCCATACTGCACCCCTCTCTGCTCATCCCTCCACACTCATTGGGATTTCTTATCAGTTATATTGGCCATCCTGGAGCAGGCCTAAGCCTACCCTGTAGAAACAGATCACTGCAAAAGTGATCTATTGATGGTTGATAACAAGTTCCTATTATTATTATTAGTAATCTATGTACACATGCGTGGAGCTGTGGATCAGATCTACCCCCATATTAAGAAAAAAGAAAACAAAGGAAGAAGACTTAATTGTTTTTCAAATCCCCCAGGTTCCATGGAATGTGGGGGGTGTTCTGCATTTGCACTGATTGCCTTGGACATCAAACATTTAAGAGGCATGTGAAATGTAATTTACAGCTTTGTGCAGATTCACAAAGTCCCTTGCACATAAGTCTCTGCCTCCAAAGACCATACACTCTAATGCCCCCACATTTATATAGGCACACAAAGTAGGGCCAATTAACATATCAATTGGAATTTGCACTGTGTGGTCTAACCCACAAAAGCAAAGGTAGAAGATATGAATGATATGCAGATAGTATCCCTGGTGGAAACCGCACTCAGAAACAAAAGATCGCTTGGCTTTCTTGAAGGCAAAGGCTACACATGTATGGGAAGATGTCTCCCTAGGGAAGATGACTGGGTAGGTATCTGCCCCCAAATGCTTCCTTCCCTGACAGGGAATCCCTGTTCTCAATGAGAAGAGGTAAGGATCAGGCCTTTCACACATTTGCAGGGCCCCTACATGTGGTATTGAGTATAGAACTAACTGGCCCCATCGTTGGCTGAGCCCTTCATTGTCTTGTCCAATAAGGGGTTGGGATTTGGTTGGTCTTGGTTGGCTTAAGAGACTCTGAAAGTTTACAACCAGGGCCGGATTTCCCACAAGGCCAACCAAGGCCCGGCCTTGGGGCAGCAGGGGTGTGCAATTCCTATCTCCTGATGTCCAGGACATGCAGTTCCGGGCACCGGGTGGGTAGTTGTGTTCTACATTTAGCCCTGCTTTGGACAAGCAGAGCTAAGTGCACAGCGAAGAAGCCTCTGCTTGTTTTGTACAAGTGATCCCAGCAATGTCACCATGATCATTTGTATGCAGCTTGCAGGTCTGCTATTCTCCATGGGGTGGGGGTTGGAGGGTAGGGAGGCGCATTGAGGAACCTGGCCTTAGGGCAGCAGAGAGAGAGTAAATCCAGCCCTGCTTACAACCACAATTCCGTGGAATTCTCTCCATATCAGGGACATATGTGAAGTGCTTTCTTGATAGCCCTTTTTACCTCTTGGTTTCTCAGGCTATATATAAGAGGGTTCAGCATTGGTATCATTACTGTGTAAAACACAGAAGCCGACTTGTCTTGGTTCTCAAAGGCACTGTTTGGAGGGCGTAGGTAAATGAAAAAAACAGTCCCATAGAAGATAGAAATGCACATGAGATGTGAGGAACAAGTACCAAATGCCTTCTGTCTTCCCTTGCTGGACTTTATCTGTATGATAGAAGTAACTATAAAAGTGTATGAGACCAAGATAGTCATCAATGAGCCTATACCACAAGCAATGACAAAGAAGATAGTGATTGAATTGCACCACAGAGTGCTGGAGCAGGCCAGGATAAGCAGTGGCGGTACGTCGCAGTAGAAATGGTCTATGAAGTTTGGACCACAGAACTCAAGACTAAACACACAGCTGGTTTGTACTACGGACTGAAGGAATCCAATAGAAAAACAAAGGAAAACAAGACTCAAGCACTTTTTGCTGGTCATAACTGAAACGTAAAGTAGAGGGCGGCAGATAGCAACATATCGGTCATAGGACATGGATGAGAGTAAAAATGATTCAGTAACGACCAGAGCATCAAAGAAAAAGAACTGGACTGCACAGTTGTAAAACGAGATGAACTTTATCTTGGACATAAGGTCAGCCAACATTTTAGGAGTTATAACTGAGGAGTAGAAAAGGTCCACCAAAGAGAGATAACTAAGGAAGTAGTACATCGGAGTCTGGAGGTTGGAGGCTTTAAGGATTATGAACATCATGCCAAAGTTGAACACCACACAGACGAGGTAAACACTCAAGAAGAAAGTAAAGAGGAATGGGGCAAGCTGTTCATTGTCTGTTAGTCCAGAGAAGACAAACATGGTCACTTGCGTTTTGTTTAGGTGTCTCATTGGGTCCTTCTGTCCTTCTGTTGCTTAATGGTTGGCTAATGGTTTTGCCTACGGTGAAAAGCATGGATGTTTCCAGATGGAAATAATTGGGATGCAGAACTTTTCACTATGATTAGGACCAACTGGTGTCTATCCCTCCATTGGCATCATTGGCGAGTTTAAAGTTGGCTGTAGATGCACGGACCACTGGGATGTAACACAATCTTCTTCCAATCACAGATGGTGGATAGATGTAGCATTCAAATCTTGAAACGTTTGTTATCTTTTCTCTGCAACAATGGAAATATTGTCAACTGTTCACAAAGTGTTTCCAGTATGTTTGTAAAACTTTTCATATAGAAACAATCACATACAATGAGTTCAAACACTGAATACATTTTCTGCAGAAGACGTGTATCTAAACCTCTGTTTTTAACCTTAGCGGTGAGACAAGTTTTTTTGCATGCTGGCTGGCGAGTGTGCTGGGAAACATTTTGCTGTTACTGTGTAAAGCCCTTCCATGTGCACCTTGCTGTAAAGCTGGTAACAAATTAATGAGTGCGTTTGACATTTGTTTTGCTTGACTGATTTGGTGCAGTGACACATGGGGGGTGGTCTCAGCTGCTGTTGTGATGTGCTGGGTCCTTTGTGCATCCCTGTGCCTTTAAGGGATGTTGGGCTTCCTCCTGACAAACCTGCACCCAATTTTATCTTCTGCCCCCATGTGCTCCAAGATGGAGACTCTCATAGTTTAGCTTTAGGACCGCACTATATAGAGGTGCCTTGGCGCAGCTGTGCGGCTTTCACATTTTCTGCAGAAGACGTGTAGCTAAAACCTCTGTTATTAACCTTAGCGGTGAGACAAGTTTTTTTGCATGCTGACTGGTGAGTGTGCTGGGAAACTTTTTGCTGTTACTGTGCAAAGCCCTTCCATGTGCACCTTGCTGTAAAGCTGGTAACAAATTGATGAGTGCGTTTGCCATTTGTTTTGCCAAACACTGAATACCACACATCTGTATCATTCCACAGTCACAGGTAATGCTAAAATTGATCAGGCTCTGTAGGTCCCGGATCTACTTAAAACCATATCCAAAATGAAGCACCAGAATAAAAACACAAAGACTCAATTACTACTTACTGCGGTGTTTCTCAACCTGTGTCATCTCAGGACCCACATTTGTCCTTGGTCATTAAGCTGTAACCAAAGTCGCACTGCACTGGAACACACGGCATTGCGGTACCACGCGTTCTGGTGCGGGCGATCGAACTGTGGATGGGAGATGCGTTTGAGGTGCCATGCAAATGAATGGCAATGCAACACACCTCCCACACCAGAATTCACAGTAGGTGCAATTTTGCGTGGTACAGTGCGTTAGTCGCACGGGACTGTACGATTAACGCACTGTACTAGTGTGAACGGGCCCTCAAAAACACTGACAGACACGCACAGACACAATTTCACACACTTCAGGCATTCTCACACAAGCACATACTCCTAAAAAAATTCATAAAAAAAAAAAAAAAGTTTAAGATCCACCCAGTCTCCCTACCTTAGGTAAACTAGAGTGGATCCTCAGCCTGGGGTCCATTGTGGGATTCTGTGCTGTGACAGAGCTCCATCCATATGTGAATTGCTGGTACAGCTCCCTTGTGTGCCCTGTAGTGTTTCCGGAGCCAGATTGTGATGGTCCAGGCACCTCTACAGTACTTGTAAGGAAGCTGTAAGTAATGCACGTATGAATGGAGCTCCCTTGCGGCCATTGCCCCACCTCAAGCTGGCACTCAGCACCAGGCAGCATATTTTGAGTGGCTGCTTGGCGTTCGAACTGACGAGCTGATGAGCTAGGGGGAGGCTGAGGAACCTCTCACCTAGAAAAGTGGATGGCATGCGGCGACCCACTGAACAAGGGGTCGCGACCCACTTTTGGGTCACGACCCACCAGTTGAGAACCAAGGACTTACTGGCTCTCAGCAGCTATTTATATCTCTATATATCTTCATATCCAATCTAATCATATCTTCCATATCTTCACTCTTATTTGTCTTGCAGTGAGGTCATGTCCATCCTTCTGTGAAGGTCATTAAAGAGAAGTTTCAGATGAGATAATGTAGAAGAGCAGAAGACATCCTTGGCTGATTTGGTTACCAGCTGCTTCTAATTTGGAAAAATTTGGATCCTGTTTTCTGATTTGCTGATACATATATACCCTAGTCATAGCTTTCTATGGGTTGAGTTTATAGCAGGCCATGCTCTGTTGGGTCAGACTTTACATCTGGCCATGTTTGGTGGCATGGTGTCACACTAACGTCATGGGGAGCTGACTTTAAATTAGTATTAAACTCTCAAATTTGGTCTAGATTCCCAATAATGAATCTAGACCAAACAAATTTAAATTGCCCAGCAAAATATTTATTTATAGCTTTGTCCAAACACATTCATCATGTTTCCAATGACTGGCCCCAAGTGTCTCAGCTCAGCTTCCCTGAACGTCCTGTCCATTACAAGATTACAGTTGTCTATCTACTAGCTTAGAGAAGGGAGGAGGGAGTATTGGGGAGCAAGGGAGAAGAGAATGTCTTGCCTTGCTGTGTCTGTTTAGACGTGTATCCAAACCTCTGTCATTGTCCTTAGTGGTGAGACAAGTTGTTTTACATGCTAGTTTGTGAGTGTGCCATGATGCCTTTCTACTGTTCTGTTTGTTTGTGGAGACACGCACCGCTTACTAGCACACACAAGGGTGGCTCCACATGACCCTGCAAGCAAAAGGGGCCACCTTAGAACAGGATACCAGGAACAGTGCTCAGGGAACCAGTTGATTCTGCAGGAATCTAAAACTTTAAGCATTAAAGAGCAGCATCCATTGTAAGTGATTACATTGGCAATTGAAATAATAACCTTTTGACTTTAATAGCAATTTAATCCATGTTTGGTAGAAGCTGGGGTGTTAATCTGCTTGACAACTTTTTATGTGTCCTAGGGACTCTGTTGGTGAGATCTTTGCACGGAGTTCGCTGATCTGCACACCTTCTGCTCCCATTATGAGGGGTCCCTGAAATACCTGTTGGATGTTCTGACACTGAACTCAGGACTTAAATCTTAACTTCTAGAGGGGGTGCTACTTGTGTTCCCCATGGTCCCTGTCTGTGTGTTGTAAAGTAGTCACCGCTCCAAGCTCGCTCCAGGGATGGACTACAATCTCACGTTTAGTGTATCAATTGTATTGAGATTCTAGTCCATCCCGGGAGCGAGCTTGGAGCGGTGACTACTTTACAACACACACAGGGATCATGGGGAACAGACGTAGCCCCCCCTCCAGAAGGAAGGACAGTGTCAGAGATGATTGGAGGATCTACAGCCGAGTGATACACAAATAAGATACAATGTTGTTAATAGTTAAGGGACTTGAATGCATTTTAAAGATTTCACTCCTGAGTTTAGTGTCGGTTTATCATTATAGAGAATATACCACAAGATGCTGAAACACTTTCAAGGGGACAAGAACAATCTGGGGAGATCTTCCTGTTGAAAAATCTAAAGCTCAGGAAGCCAGGGGCATACTGACCAGCAAGACTCCAACAGTAAGCAAATATTACTTGAAGATGGACTCAACCCTTTTATAAGCCTTCATCAATCTTGCTTGAATGGGATAAAACAGAGAAACATGAGAAGGAGAAAAGCATGAAAAAAGTAATTGATCAGCTTCCAAAAAAAGAAAACACAGAACCTTAATATAAAATAATAGAAACATAGTAAAACACAATGTGAAGGTTTGCATCTTAGAAGTAGTACGTTTACTTTGTTTTATTGAAATGTTTTCTTTGTATACCTGTAAAAAGCCATTTATATTCCAAGAACATGCTGGGATTTTTTTGTTGGGTTTCTTGTTGGCAGATGAGCTGATACAGGGACGGAGTTTGCTCTCTCTTACCTGTCTGATATATAAAATGATCTTCAAGTCATAGAGTCTCTTCAAGGACCTGTTTTTATAATAAATATTACTTGGGGGAATCATTTTCATCTATACCAGAGGGGATTAAAAATGAGTTAAACCAATTAGTCATAATATGGGTAAGCCATACAATTGTATCCTTTAAGGGTAGGAATTTAGATAAATAAATACAAAACAAAGCTCAGATTAATTACAACGCACGATGTTTTAGTATAGATTTCCTTTCATATGTTTATTATATTCAGGTACATACACTACATTGCCAAAAGTATTGGGACGCCTTTACACGCACATGAACTTTAATGGCATCCCAGTCTTAGTCCGTAGGGTTCAGTATTGGGTTGGCTCCGCCCTTTGCCGCTATAACAGCTTCAACTCTTCTGGGAAGACGTCCACACGGTTTAGGAGTGTGTCTATGGGAATGTTGGACCATTTGTGAAGTCAGTTACTGATGTTGGGGGAGGGGCTCGCAGTCTCCGCTCTAAATCATCCCAAAGATGTTCTATGGGGTTGAGGTCAGGACTCTGTGCGGCCAGTCAAGTTCCTCCACCCCAAACTCCCCCATCCATGTCTTTATGGACCTTGCTTTGTGCACTGGTACGCAGTCATGTGGGAACAGGAAGGGGCCGTCCCCAAACTCCTCCCACAAAGTTGGGAGCATGAAATTGTCCAAAATGTCTTGGTGTGCTGATGTCTTAAGAGTTCCCTTCACTGGAACTAAGGGGCCAAGCCCAACCCCTGAAAAACAACCCCACACCATAATCCCCCCTCCACCAAACTTTACACTTGGCACAATGCAGTCAGGCAAGTACCGTTCTCCTGGCAACTGCCAAACCCAAACACGTCCATCGGATTGCCAGACAGAGAAGCGTGATTGGTCACTCCAGAGAACACGTCTCTACATCTCTAGAGTCCAGTGGCGGCGTGCTTTACACCACGGCATCCCACGCTTTGCATTGCACTTGGTGATGTAAGGCTTGGAAGCAGCTGCTCGGCCATGGACACCCATTCCATGAAGCTCTCTACGCACTGTTGTTGTGCCAATCTGAAGGCCACACGGAGTTTGGAGGTCTGTAGCTA